CAATAAGTATGTGATGCATTGATATGTGAAGAATACACAAATAAAATCCAAATAAGTTCATGGTCATCCTTGCCGAATTGTTGGAGAAGGCTATTTATAATAGTTAAACACTAGGTTCTCTCTTTGATTTCTCCCACTAAAAAAACAATTGATGGCATTGTTCAAAATGCAATAATTATTTTCTTTGTTCCTTCTTCCTTTTCTTCATTTTTTTAATTTTTTAATTTCTCTTTCTCAATCTTTATATATAGAGAGAGGCAAAATGAAATAACTATTTTATATATTAAAAAATATAATTACTTGATTAAATTATCAACATTTAGAATTTTTTATTTTTTAAAATTTTCTATTACTTAGCGCCGTTAGCGGGTTAATAGGTTAACCCGAAATCCGCACGGGAAATAAATGGGTCGACACGAAACCCGCACGATTATTAAATGGGTCATAGCGGGTTGACCCGAAATTGACACGGGAAATAAATGGGTCGACACAAACCCGACACGAACACGACCCATTGCCAGCCCTACCGTCAAGTATGTCAAAAACTCTGTTACAAATGATGAAGTGGCACTAATGGAACCCACAATTTTGCTAAACTAAGTGCCATGTGTGCAAAGGGAAACCCACCTACACATGGAAACTTAATAAAACATTCTTTATGTTTAAAAATAAATTAATAAATTAAATAAAACATATAAAATAATCTATATATATAAAGCAAAAGGCAGAGAATAGTGAAACATTCAAAATACCAAAAAATGTCATTGATTAATGCAAACATTAAGAATTGAAATTATTAATTAAATGAGGATAATATGGTAAATTCACATGTTTTCATATTTAAAAAAATTTAAAATTAAAAGAAAAATCAGATAATAGATCCTCTTTTTATGGAACACAACTACTCATTATCTTTTTTAATTCTAAAATAAATTTAAATTTATAAAAAAAAAAGCCTCTCGCAGGCGCGGAAGCGCGTGCAGAGAGGCTAGTATTAAATTAAAAGAAATTAAAACTAAAATCCTCCAAACCCGCACCGCCAACCCCCCAAAACCCATGAGGCTAAGTCACACCCAGTCCCACCGTTATCCCAAGGCACCTCTCCAACCAAATCCAACCCCAATCTCCCCCACACTAGCCGCCCCCAAGCCTTCAGACCCCCTTTGGTGGTTCCAGGGCCAGTCTGTAGTTTCCGTGTTGTGCTCAATCTACAGTTTTCAATTTGGGGGTTTGTTTTTGTTTTGCTAGTTAGAGTTTGAGTTTGAGTTTATGGGTTGTGCTCAATTTGAGTTTTTGAGTAATTCTTCAGTTTATGTTAGGGAGATTTTTAACTTTTTGTTGAAATTTTGACCTAAATTAGTGATTGATTGTTGAGAATATTTCTTATGTGGGTTTTGGAAAATTGCCGCTGTGGAAGAGAAATAATGGTGTGAGGATGGGAAGATGGGATGTTGGGTTGGTTGCTCTCTAGTGGGGAGAGGAGGTAGGGGTATTGGATTACTGCTTGTAAGTTACAAGAACTTCAAGCTTGGTGACCTTACTATCGAAGACCCATCCCCAATTCCATAAAATGGGTTTCCATTATTGCCTTTGGATTTTTGATTCTCAAAACGAAGGACCTAGTTCAATCATGCAAGGATTTTTCACTGGTCAAAAAGGGGAGAGAGAGAGAGAGAGAGAGAGAGAGGTGGTCATGGTGCACAATGGGATTTTGGGTTGGAGAAGGGTGGTGATGATTTGGGTTAGGAGATGGGGCCATGGTTTTGGCTTGGGGAGGGGGCTGGATTTTGGGTCTGCAAGAGAGGAAAAGAGAGTAGGCAGGAGGAGGGGGTGTGGTTGCGGTGTTTGAGACTGATTGGGAAGGGATAATGAAGTTGGATGAGGGGTATTCAGGATGTTTTTTGTGTTTTGGTTTTTGATAGGATATTTTTTGGTTTTAAAGTATTATTATTATTTTAATAGTTAAATCTTTTTTTCTTTTTTTTTTTGCACACGTGGCACCTAGTTTATCAAAATTGTGGGTTCCATTGGTGCTACATCATCATCCTCAATGCTTGACACGTGTTCATAGACATAACCGTAATTAACTTTTGCTTTGTATTTATGGAATCATGATTATACCTATGAACACGTGTCAAGCATTGAGGATGGTGGTAAGAGTACACCTATAGTTAAAGTGGTGAGCAAAAATGCTCCCAATTTTTGACATACTTGACAGTATGGGCCAAAGTGAGATGCAAAACATTGATCAAGGAGTTAAAGTGGGTCACTTTAACTTTCATGGAGTAAACTGAGATTTGACCAAAATTTCAGGGACACTACAATAAATAAGCCTAAAATTTATATGTAATTCGTCTCCAACTAAAAATAAAGTTATCTTCACTAAAGCATCGGTGAGATCAAGGACCACATACTATGTCAAATGAATTTATGATACGTGCGGAAAAAGAAGAGAGAGATTGGAGTATGGGATGTACGGATGGGATGGGCCCAACTCCGTGTTTTTCATATTTTTCCTATTTATTCAGTTCTTTTATCGACTAAAAATAAATTTATATTTTTCCTATTTATTTAGTCCTTTACGATTGGGAGTATTATTGTCATATAGCTCATGAGAAAATATATTACAATTTTTATGTCCAAAGATATTTGTACGGTATCCCTCTGTGCACAGAGCTTTTGGGCCTATAGACAGCTCTAAGGCTTACATTTGGGCAAACATTTTCATTGGAGGAAAGGAATCGACTTGTGGGCCAATTGGGCCGAACAAGCTATCATTGGGCCTTATATACAAGCCCATTGGGCTATTGGGGCATACAGGCTTTTTATTCTTAA